ATCCTTAGTGTCTCAATACATAATAAAAAATCTCTTGATACAGATTCAGTTCATGGACACATTGGGCATTTTCAGAACAACCACGATTTTTACTATCAACTACTCATGCTCATAAAATTATAAACATTAGTAAATTAATGATTAAAAAAAATGAATATGTATTTTTTAATTTGTTCATTCATTCACAACGTACATATAACCTAGAAAAAGCTTGGAGTATAAGAATAAGGGGTCATACGAATTTGAAATTATACCTACTTATTACCAATGTCAAAACAAACCCATTTTCCTTTTTCGTGGGTATTTTAACTCATTCCTAGATCAAGTTTGAGACATGCTAACTTACATGTAAAGGATTCGCGATTAAATCAAGAGAGCGAATTAATGTATTTTATGGCTAAGGAATTTGCTGAAATAAGAAACTGTTACTTTTGTCCAATGCTGAAATTCGTTCTATAGAATGCCATACGGGATTTGGACAATAGAAACCAATTGCGTGAAAAATGTTACAAGCGTCATTTTCCTTTTGTATTAACTATTTAATAATTCAGTACAACGTTAGGTTATAATTTGGAAAAATCCAAACCACACTATATATATGTGTACCCCAAATGCAGGCAAAGAAAACAAACCTGCGTTTGGATGTCATGGATAGATGTCATGGTCATGGGTGTCTAGCTGTTCTTTTCTCTCCTGATGATGTCTGAATTGACGAAATATTGACAAGTTTGTTTTCTTTGTAAGCATTTTGGAGATATAAGGCTGTGTGGTTGGGAATTTTTCCTAATTATAACCTAATATTTATTTTCTATCTCTTGATTGATTTGTTACTAATTTATATAAATTTAGTACAACATAACGTGTCCATTTCAGATTTTTTTCTTTTAGCATACATTTTATTTATTAGACTACACAGTTATAGTTATAATTATTTTGTCTTTGAGGGAGTTCTTATATGAATCAGTAACAAATCTCATACACTTTTTAACAATTAAGTTATTTTTTAAGCTATATATATCACCTAGAAATCTTATTATGTCCAATTAAATTAATGCAATGATATAATTTTGAGTGCATTCTTTAGACGCTCCATTGTCAATGAATTTTGGTTTATTATTTTCAATAATGAAACATTGTGATCGACCAAAAAATTCAAAAACATAACCCCCCTCAAAATTTGAGGTTTCACGTTTCAAGATGCGTAGAATTCGAAAAACGAATAAAATTTTTTTTGTCCGTCCGCCGTCCGCGCATTTTCTCCAAAACTACAGGACCAATTTTTATCAAATTTTGATATAAAATCAGAGGTCATCCGAGGATGATCCTCCTTCATCCACATTACTCTCCGCTTTTAACTTTCAAAATGGCGGCCGAAAAATCTGCCTTGCTATAGACTGTAGCTCCTAAACGAATGTAGATTTCAATGAAACTTCGCTAAAGTCATTTTCTCGACGCCCTTTAAATTTATCTATATAACATACTTCAACGAAAAGAAGCTGGAAAAAAAGTTACGAGGGATGGTAAAATTAAATTCCGAATAACTCGAAAAGTTTTTACTTTTTTGTTGATATTGATAGTTTTTTAAAAGTTTATGAAATTTCCTAAAAAAAAAAAAAAAAAAAAATCATTAAAATTGGACAATTAGGAGCAAAGATATGGTCTCTGGTTTTTTTTTTTATGTGTTCTACTTTAAATGTTATATCCTTGGTTTAATTTTTAAATTTTAAATGTGTTACTGAAATAATGCTATTTTTTTTAGCATATTACTAATGATTAAAGAATAACAGTTTAGTCCAATAATTGGAATCACCTTTTGTTTTTTTTTCTTTGTAACTCGGAAGGTAATATTACTTTAGATTTATAATTGTTTGGAGATAATAAACCATTGTGAAATCATTTGCAGCGTTTTTTAATTATGATCAAAAATGTAATTAAGTAATCCAGTCTGGTATAACCTTAAACTTTAGAGTTTAGAAGGAAAAGATACCTAACCGTAAGTCAGTAACCGTCCTTGGGAGAGGCCACAGCGCTTCAAGATCAGCAAGGTGCATCACTAACGGGAGCGTATATCTTCTTTACGTCCACAACGCCACGTGACCAAGTCTTCAACTTAATATTCATAACTTAGAGGTGTAAGGGTATCGCGTTAACGCAATGTATGACGGCAGTTAGCATTGCGAGTATTTCTACATGAAAGATTGTTTCCGGTTTCATGAAGTCGAGGCCACAATTGTAAATGCGTTTACATTTAAGGAAATAAATTCTGTATTAGGTATTACTACGTGCTGTTCATGAGCAGTCGTGGTTTACAACAGGAAGTTGATCATTTTTTTTTTTCAAGACGAGGCATCGGAGATTGAAGTCACTCACATTTAAAAGATACAGGAATCATAGAAACCTAATATGAAATTTTTTCCATTACACTATTGATCATGGTTTATCAGAAACAATAGCAGGAAAAAGTTTTCAGATTGGAAAAAGTAAAAGCAAATAACATACACTGAAAATAAACGTTCAGTTCAGTATTTCATTATTCAGACAAAATATAATAAACATTATTGCTATAATTTGGCAAAACTGTCTAATATTATGTAACTAAAACGTTTTTAACTCATATTTTAATCTTTTTTTTTTTTTATTTGTTTATTGATAAATATTACAATCTGTCTCAATAAAGGACATTTATAATAGAGTTCTGAGAGCACATTCACACCATATTTACAAATTAAAAAAAAAAATAAGCTAACTTCAAATAATATAGAGCTACAAAAGAACAAAATAAAATATCATAGTGAAGGAAGAAAATATAAATAATAGTAATAATAGAATGAAAATAAATTAATAAAATAGAATTAAAATTATCTTTAAAAAAAAAAAATTAATGAAAATAAACATCTTAGATGCAAGCATACCTATTTACACTATTTACAGTCGGCCATGGGAACTCCGAACCATACTTATCCCCCCACATGTGGAGGGAAAGCAAGGCTCAAGAGATCCCTGCGCTTCTTCCTCAACCATTTCACTGGTATTAAAAGCCAGCGGAGATTGAGTAAGGGCGCTATATTTTAATCTTAAGTTTACAAGACGATCAAGGTGCTTCTTAATATGAATATATAGCAACATGTGTTAAAATAAGGATTTAATTAAAACCTCCAGTAATGAAACAGGAATTGGTATGAAATGGAATTTGTGGGAAATCATAGATTTTGAGTAAGGAAAAAATGTATGATGATTTTTTTTTTTTTTTTGTTTCCGCACCTTTCAGGTCATACGAGTTTTTCCCAAGCCAAGGGAGAGGACGGGGGGTTAATTCAAGAGATGAAAAAAAAACCGGCGCCAGGACGCGAACTCGTTAAAATATTTTATCGTGTTGTTTCCAGTTCAATAGGTTTTGCACACTTGTTAGCTCCCACGGCCACTCCGCCTTCACTGGAATGGTGACTAATACGTACGAAGTTAAGCGTTAACATTCCTGTTTTAATTAAAAAATTAAAATTGATGTAAAAATGTTTTAAAAAATGAATATCCTCATAGAAAAAGTGATTTTTTAAAAACTTGTTTATTGAGAAATATTACAATTTGTCTCAATTAAGAACACTTATAATAGAGCTCAGAAAGCACAATCACACCATCTATACAGAATCATAAAGTAATAACAATACAATATAAATAGAAGTAAGAACAAAATAAAATATCATAATGGGAGAAAACAAATAATAACAATAATAATTTAATAAAATAAAATGTTATTTAAAAAAAACTAAACATCTTTGACTCAAGCATACCTATTATTTCCAGAGGAACTCCGAATCAGTCTTGTCCCCTTACTTGTGGAGGGGGAAAGCGATGATTCAAGAGATTCCTGCGCTTCTCCTTCAACCACTGAAAAAGTGATTAACTAGAAAATTTCAACAACGAATGTATCAATTAAATAATACTTCTGGACATGAAAAGTGTGACATTGATCACTTTATGAATTTTGTTTAGTCAAAGTCAATTAATTTTTTTTCCCGTTCTTCCCTTCCTAACTTAATAGGTTATACGGGATTTTCCTGGGCCAAGGAGTGAGAACGAGAGATTGATACCAGAATTAAAATCTCCTCTCGGCACTGGGATGCGAACTTGTAATTACTTTATCGTTTATGCATCGGGTTATCCAGATGCTGAACACTCGCATTAGGTCACTCGGTCGCCCCGTCCCTGAAATCTCAGTAGAAGATGAAGGAGACAATTTTAAAAGGAAATAAGGCCCGCTCTGGCCAGGTCGGCAAGTCGGCGATCGCCTAAGATCCGTGAGCCAGAGGAGCACCTGGAGGAGGCTCGAAATCATTGTTCTAGATTTTTTAGGACCCCAAAAATAATTTTTTTTTTCGTCTATTTTCGAAAATTGCTGGGGCCCTCCGATAGGCCCAAACATAAATCTCCACGAGATCTCTTCCTTCTGACCTTTATACTCCTTTCCAGTGATCTGCCCGATTTCAACACTCCTTTATTGTCCATTCCACCACTTTTTGGAATTTCATCCCACTTAAAATCCGCCGTGCATCATCCTTTCCTACATTTCAAACCCTCTTATTCCAATTCATCTTCACCATCTAATCAGGCGATGGATAATTTTTGTAATGTAACAAGGTTTTCTTTTAATTATATTTGTTATTTTTTATGAATTTGAAGAGATTCCGTATCACTTTTGATATAACATTGGGATGAAGAAAAAAATTGTTTATTTTTACTCAATTTTCACTCCAAGTGGTGAATAAAAGATACTCCTTTTGGAAGCTGGATAAAAACTGAGGAAATTTTTTTTTTATAAAAAATATAAATTGGCTTCTAATATTTGAATCAATCATTTGAATTCTTTTTTTTTTCTAATTTAAGAATTTTTACTAACTATAAATAGTCCATAAAAAAATTGTATTGATTGGTACAAATGTCATTAAGGTATTTTAAACCACTTTCATCCAGTGGGATCAATTAATTATTTTTTTCCCTTTCAGAAAGATATAGCTGAGGCTGCTGGATATCCAGCAACAGATGTAGAAGTGATAACAGAAGATGGGCACAGCCTATGGATGCATAGGATAGGTAATTCATCAGGCCCACCTGTAATGTTGCAACATGGATTGCTGGTTGCTGGAGATTCTTGGATAGCAAGAGGACCTGATAAAGATCTTGGTATATTTTTTCTAATAACATCATAGTCAACCAAATCACTAATTGAAATAATGAAAGGAAATATTTAAAGCAATAATTTTCATTTGAAACTGTCAGTCCAAATGATTCAAGTCAAGGGGGTACAAATGACATTTTTAAGAAAACTAAGTGGTTTAATGGATAATTTATACATAATGAATGGCAATGGTAAAGCGGTACAATTAAATGTTAATTTAACGCTGAGATATACTATGAATTATACAGTGACAAAATTATCTATATAAAAAATCAATTGTTTTAGCAAATAGATGGGTAGTGATACTTATTCTGCTTGTGTACCAAAATATATGCTTCTTTTTTGACAACTGTTAAGATTGGAATAGTGTAAAATATTTTAATTACTTTAATTTTTAAAAAGTAACTTTGCAGCTAGAATAGACAGTTATAGAATAACCGACAGTAGGTAATAATGATAGTTCTCTTTTCAGCCTCCTCTGTGGTAATTTTTAACAGTTTTACAATGTTTTGGCTGAATTTTCATTTGTTTCATTCAGAAATATATTACAAATTTATAGCTCTTGTGAATGTTAATTACATACAAAAGGAAGTTACAGACCTGATCACTAATTTTTTTGATGATCAAACTTTTTTTGATGACATTCAAAAAGATTAGTCACATTACTGACGGTTCTTGGTAATGTGCCTCAGGAGCCGAGAAAAGAAATACACCAGCCATTATTCAAAAGAACTATAAGTATCTTATAAACTTGAATGTTCTAGGGATTTTATTAAAAAGTTTTAACTTCATATGCTCGGTACTAATATCAATTTATCTTTTCACAAAGTAGACAAATTGGTATTAGTACCATTTAGGTTCTCAGCCCTCATTCTATTAGGAGGAGATACTGATTTAAAGATTAAGAAATTATCATGATGGCAACATAATTTATTTCTTTACTATTATCTAATTTCAGCATTCTTATTGCTGAAGGCAGGATTTGATGTATGGTTGACAAACCAACGCGGCACAGTTTACAACCAGTATAATTTAAAGTACAGTCGGACAGACCCACGATTCTGGAACTTCAGGTAAAATGTTTTTTTACAAGCAAATTTCTCATATTAGTAAAACATTTTATTTAAAAAAAAAAGGGCTGTTCCAATATAATTGTTTACGGTAAGTAATTATATAAAGAATACTGCATATAACCCATTAGTTTTACAACCATTGAAAAGTATTAATAATCACCAAACATAAAAAAAAAATTAGCAACTTACACTTTATTTTTCAACCTCTTTCATTGTATTGAATAGAAAGGCATAGATCAACATAAGCCTAATCAAAGTTTTGTATAGTCTTGCCTTAGTCTGCCTTGTAAGTAATTGGCTCCTGATCTGTCTCCTTAAGCCAAAAAAGCAACGGTTGGCTGTTGCTATCCTCTTTCCTATTTCCTTCGACAAGTCATTGGTTGACGTCACAAGGGAACCGAGACAAGTAAACTCTCTGAAATTGGTATGGGCCTATTTCTATGGAACTTTCTCCTTGCTGAACTCCATCGGCCTTTACTACCATATATTTAGTTTTGGCCTCATTTATATCAACAGCGAGGCTGCCTGTTGGATTGTCAGAAAAGCATTACAAAGTTCAGATTTCGATCGATTGAAGAGAATTCAGGATAGAATTTTTTATGCTATCGGTAACAACGATATTCCTCTATAATTTTTGCAATCAAGCCTATCACCCTTTTTGTAGATTGGGCAAATTATTTGCTTTTTCCACTCTGTTGGTATGTTTTTACCAACCCAAATTTGGACCATCAAATTATGAAGGTCCTGATGCAAGTTTTCACTTCTGTATTTAAGGAGCTCTACTGTAAGGCCAACCAAACCTGGACTTTTGCTATTTTTCATTCTAAGGATCACTTCCCTAACTTCTTTGAAATCCAGAGGAGGTTCATTCTTTTCCTCTGTGTTATCATTTTGGTTTTTTCACCAAGTACCTTTTATTTTTTGTATCTTTTGAAACCATGGTAGAGACCTACAAAGTGGGTCCAAACGTAGGCGTAAACAATAGAATACTATTTTGATATATAGCATTCATTTGACCCTATCCCCCGACCAACTCCTTCTCTTAAATATTATCATATTTTATTTTGGTAATAAATTCAAAGTTGGAGACATTTAAAACTTCTTTATTTATTCAATTACTTACAAATGGTTAATTAATAATGGATAAAATTTCCTCATCAGTCATCTTTCATTTTTATGATTTTTCTCTACAATGTCTTGCTGAAAATAAAGGAATTTATGAAGATAACAATATTTGATAATTTGGATTACTACTTCAAAATCTTTTTTTCAAAGTTACTTCTTGAGATTTAATGCTTTAACCATAATTCATAATGTTAATCACCTAACAAATATAATTAATAAAAAATTATGGTGGATAATTGTTGACTGTTGGAACATATTGCTGATGAGAAGGTGATCGGGTATCATTTTAAGTACTTTTATTGGCCCTTAATCCATTGTATGTAGCACAGGTCATAACCACATGCAAAACCATCTGAAACAACACAAGCACGGCATTGGCGATTTATGTCCTGGCCTAGACTGTGTAGTTTAGCTTTAAAACTTCTAGGTCCCATGAGGAACTATGAAAACCGCTAACCTGGGAGGACCCAAACCATGAGAAAGGTTTTGAAAATGTTTTGTGTAAATATATTCTCTCAGTAGCTATATTTCCAGTGGTCCCATTGATACAAATATATATATATATATATATATATATATATATATATATATATATATATATATATATATATATATATATATATATATAAAGAGAGAGAGAGAGAGAGAGATTTCGTTACAACATCATTTACATTCAATCTTAGCGAAGATTTTCATTATTCATATATGTTTATTTTAATTTTTTTGTAACTAAGAATATTAGGAAAAAACACATTAGCCATATAAAATGTCTGAAACTCTTTAAACTTATCAAACCCTTTATCTCCGGTGAATAAGTAGTAAATTTGAATTAGAAGAAAAATAAAATTAGTTCAATGCTTATTTGAATTCAGTTTTTGAAAATGCAGGAAAACAAATTGTGGGAATTAACACAATGTGAAATTATAAGATTATTCCTTTTAAGAAGTCTATTTTCAGAAGTTTGAATTGAATTAAATATTCATCTTAATAACTTATTTATTGGAGTTATAAAAATAATGTCTGAATATACAAATAAATTTAATCAAATTTATTAAATAGTAAATTAATATTAATTTTCTAGTTTCCATGAGTCTGGCTATTACGATATCCCTGCATTCATTGACAGAATTCTCAAAATAAGAAAAGCAAAAAAAATATTTTATGTGGGACATTCTCTTGGTAATATATTTTATAAATTACAATAATTTAAAAATATTATGCTGTATGTGTAATGAAATAAAGATATTTTATTTTGTTTTTTTTTACATTTAGTGATTTATGACGAGTTTGATGGTTTTCCAGGTACAACTGTATTCCTTGTGATGAATTCACTAAGACCAGAATATAATTCTAAAATACAAGGAGCAGCATTGTTGTCACCAGTAGCTTATGGACCTGACCCAGATGCATTTGGTCCTAATCCTTTTATTCGCTTTGCTCTTAATAATGCTGATGCCATTTATGTAATTTTATAACATGGTTTGTCATTTGTCAATTATAAAGCAAACATAAATTTATTTATTTTCATAACCATTTCAGGCTGGATTAACGAATGGAAGGATTTATGAATTCATGCCAAGATCATCGTCAAATATTAAAACTGTTAAACAAATATGCAGTAATTTATCAGCGAGTCAAGATCTTTGTTTAGACTTAATTGGACTTTATGCTGGTGAACATAGATCCAATATAGATAAGGTAACAATTAATTTATGATAACATATAAATTCTATATATCAAATAATATTTATAAATTTTGTGCCTTAACTCAGCGAGTAACGCATAACTCAGTGAGTAAAAAGCACTGCACTTCAGATTCGAGCCTGTCTATGGTATAATGTATTTCACACTCTCTCAGCCTTGGATTGACTCTGGAATCAAGAGATCCTCCTAGGTGTTACCCAGCCAATTTTTTTTTGTTAAAACAAAGTGGGCACTGGATCCTTCAATGAGTTGGGAGAAAAACACAGTTCAGGATGATAATCACCTGATGATGATAATTTAAGTACTATGCCTAAAACTCTTTCAGAAATTGCATTAGCAAACTTTTTTTTTTAAATTATCTTGATTATTCTTTATTTTATATAAGTTTTAAAATTAGAAGAATGTGTTTTGTAACTTTATGAAGGTTATAATTTATCTGAAGCTGTGTTTCTGGAAAAAAAAAACTATAAATTTTTATTTATAATTTTTTGAAAAAATAATATATTTCAAATTGAGTTTGAAATATGTAATAAAACAGTATTTAATCTTAATAATTTCTATAGGTATTAAAAAAATATATATAATGTTAAACTTTATAATCACTTCATAAACCAATGAAATACAATTTTGAATATTAAACTAAGTTTTTAAAAATTTCAGGAAAATTTAGGAAATATGCTAATATATGGATTTGCAGGAACATCAACTAAGACTTTATACCATTTATCTAAAGTATATAAAGGAGGTAAAATATAAATCAGATAACTATATCATGTTTTAGTTATAAGAAACAATAACTATAGAATAATAATATCATGTCTAATGAAAGCTTGTGGATAGCAGCCCTCAAGTTCCTGCCTATTGATGTGTTTCAAGACCTCCAATATTGGTACTTGAACTCGGTGAAATCCAGCAAAAAATTGAATCCCACCTCTACACCGACTATTAAGGGGAATGGGAACTTTCATGAAGTCAATTGTGATGATACCAGAGCTTGGATCACAGGCAGAAAAAAAAAAAAAAAATCCAGTAGAATCCAGGGATACAATCAAACATCAAAGGACTGGTTCAGAAAGAAAGATGTCCTACATCCAAACCAACCAACCCATAGATAGTACATCATCCTTAAACAAAACTTTGCTCTCTCCCTTTGCCCCCTCAAATGCATATCGATAATGTCCGAAATTCTCTAATCTCTATCTCATTTTTAACACCTTAGCTGTGGTTACGGTCCCTGGCATCCAGTAGCTTTTATCATATATAAGGATTATTTATAAGTATTTATCTTTACATCTATCCAACTCCCATTCGAATATTTTTAAAAATGACTGTTTTAGAAACTTTGTAAGATAGGCAAAATTCGAAACAATCCTGGCTGAACAGATATAACGACTAGCTCAGAAGAATGCAATGCAGATACAGTTGCTAGCTTAACCGCAGGGATAACCAAAACAGCATTAGGGACATACAACACGCACTTGGAACCTCCAACACAGCATTAAGTCTTCAACATTAATCTTCACAATAAATATTAATAAATAAAGAATAGTTTGTTTTTAATTTAATTTTTTCATATTTTGTAGCCATTAATTTTAAATATTCACACTTTTACTTTATTATTTAGTTTAAACAAAATAAATGTTTAAGTAGTAAAATCAATTTAAATGAACGTTACTATATAAATTAACGTTCATTTAAATTGATTTTACTAATTAAACATTTATTTTGTTTAAACTAAATAATAAAGTAAAAGTGTGAATATATATATATATATATATATATATATATATATATATATATATATATATACATATACATAAACATTTTCATTTTCTATTCTTTCAATTACAATTAGTTTCATTCATTTGAATAAAATTTGTACACATAATTTTGAGCTATCATTTAAATTTAATCAAATCTATTTCATCTTCTTAGTAAACTTTGTATGAAATTATGAAAAATTATTAAATTTAACTTTGGCAAAAATTTTGCCTCAGTATGTGTACAAGTCAATCCATTTGAAATTGCCCAATTTGAATTAATTTTATTTTCAACATTTTTGATTTTTATATTTTACTTACCAGTCATCCCCTATTTAATATTGAGTTCAACACTATGGTCGAAAATATTTTAACGTTCACAATTTTTTCTGAGCTCTCGTTTTGAATTTGATTTTGGACTAAAGACATGTTTTGGGAAAACATTCATAATTCTGCTAATTTTGTTGATACAAACCAAAATTAAAATAATGATACTTTGTTGTTTTTCAATACATTTTTGTGAAGAAAGGAAGGTAGTTTAAAAAAAAAAATAATGAAAACTAAACTTTTAGGGCTTTAAAAATGTAATAATGTAAAGAGACTAACTTTTTTACTTTTTTCTTGTATAGCACTGTTAGTGTACTAGATGCTTGAGAAATTTCACTCATAAAAGCCTTGTATTTTTTAAAAATGAATTTTCAAAAACGACTGAAAGTCATTTTTAGCAATTTTTAATCTGAATATCACAAAAGGGAGCGAGTGAAAAATAAAAACAATAGTACTGCTTACATTTCTTTATGATAGAAACAATAGAACTTTTCCCTGTTGTTTTTTGTGCTTAATATCAGAAGTAAAACTTGTTAACAAATATCAAAGTAAACAATTATGTTTATACTGATTGCACACTGAACAAAATTCTGACTATATTATATTAAAAATAGTCGGGAATATCATCATCATGATTTAAATTTTTATTTTGGTTTGATATCTAAAGAAAATTACCAGAGTTAGAGTCATGTTTTCCAGAACATGTTTTCATTCAATTTAAAATGGCCTCACAGAAAAAAGTGAGCCTTAAAAAAATTTTAACCGTAGTTTTGAACCCACTATTAAACATGAATAACTAGAAAATAAATTATAAAAACCAAAATGTTGCACATGGTCTGGGTGATTTTAAAAGGATTTACTTGTTCACATTTGTATGTGAGAGATGCTTTCTTACAAATTAAATTACAATTATCAATATTTTCTCATACTCTTGCTTATTTGGTTTTTATGATATTTTTGTACAGGGGAATTTAAAATGTTTGACTACGGACCAAAAGGAAACTGGATAAACTACAACAGTTCAATCGCCCCAAGCTATCCTGTTGAACGTGTTGTGGCCCCAGTTGCCTTATTTTGGAGTTACAATGATCCTCTTATATCACAAGATGTAAGTTAATTATTTTATTTGAAAAGAAGTTATTGTGTACCATCTAATCAGTTTTTTTTTCAAAATGTGTCTGATAGAATAAGATTTGGCATATGGAGTTAGCGGCTCCATTGCCCATTGTAGTAGTACCAGTCAGCCACTGACCTTCCAGTAGGGGGAAGAGTTCGCTGATACTCATACTGTACACTAATACGAGTATAGCACACATCACAACAAAGATCACCACCAGCAATACACACTCCAGGGTCATGGCAGCCAATAAATGCTATTATGGGCTTCAGAGACATCAATCAATCAAAAAAGCAATCCCACTCTAGGACTACCTAGATAGGTATCTCTAAGACCCTCATCAAGCCCGTCATCACATACCACTCACCATTAGATTGCTGGACACACTGGACTCTTTTGATATTTAAAACAAAGATATTGAGAAGAATTATGGAGTCCATATGTATCAACAGGCTCTGGAGATTGAGAAAAACACTGAGCTAATGAATCTCTATTTCAATAATTGACCTTGATATTTAATCAAGACTGGATATAGGCATGTTCCATGTATGAATAATAAATTCCTCAAAACGATCCTAGAAGATAAAATATTCAGACATAAAAGAGTTGGAAGACTTCACTTTTATTATATGTGAATAAGATATTGCCAGGTAGCAGCACAAAACAAAGAAGACTTGTAGCTCCAACTCTTCATGAGTTGTAGAGTCATCGAAGAAGAAGATATAACCACTGTATTACCTAAAGTGTATTTTTTTTTTTTATTAATTAAATGATAACTATATTGAAAAAAAAAAAAACATGAATGTTTCTTAATCAAACAGGAATGTTATGATTTTTTTTTTTTTTTAAATGATCATCCTAATGAATCATAACTTTATTGCAAAAAACTACATACTTTTTTTTTAATCAGAGGACAACATTATGGTTTTCATAGTGGACATAATAAATATTTAAATATAAAATAAAATGTAGGTTATAAATATATCATAAATATTAAGTTTGTTAATTGAATGATAATTATTTGGCAAAAAACATTACATTTTTCTTGATTTGATTAAAATTTTAGATCTCTTAAAAAAAAGTTTTTTTAACTAATAAATAATTTTATTACAAAAAATTTTTACCCAGTGGTGAATGTTCTGGTTTTTTTTTAATTAAAAATATTATTTCAATATCAAATAAAATACAATAGATATGGTATACAAAAATAAATAAATGGTATACAAAAAATTCAGGTGTTGGCCTTATAAACCAAATTATAATAATATACCAAATTGACTTTGTAAAATGTTAAATTTCAGTTGTTAATTATTCTTCAAACATAAATTGTTGGTTTTTTGTTAACCAGGATTATTTAAAAGCTCTTAATGTGAGCTCTAGTGTCAAAAAGAAAATTTATGCTCATTAGCTGGAACAACTATTTTTAAAATTGGTCATATTAGTTCTAACATCACCTAATACAATTTTCCTAACTTTACAAGAGCTTAAAATAAAAGCTACTTAATTCCATTGCTAATGACCCTCTTCTTATAATTGATAGCATTTTTCAATCTTAAAATATATTGAAAATAAATACTTGACATATACACGGTTACCATTTGATCAAGCATGAAGAAACTAATTCAGTTAACTAATACAACTTTTTAATAAAGTTTTCTGTTCAGTATGTATATTTTTTTTATTGAAATAAAACAATTAGTTCTCAATAAGAATGAATATTTTTGATTTATTTGTTGCAGTCTGTGCAGAAACTGGCATCCAAACTACCCAACGTTATTAAAATACAAGCTGTACCTGATCCTAAGTTTACTCATATAGACATGATTTGGGGAGAAAATGCTAAACATATTCTTTACCCAGATATCATAGACATTTTCCGTTCTTTGGTTGGCAAAGATAAATTTTAAATAGGCAGAAGCAAATAATACTTGAATCAATTACAAAAGCTTCAGTGATATAAATGTTAGACTGATATAGATAATAAGATTAGAACTTGATTGATAAAAACATCTGTAATCTATCAAGAAGAATTATATTTTCTAGTAAATAGATTTGCTACTGTGTAAATAATGTTTTGAGAATATACAGGTAATTATAAGTTGTCATTGGCTATTGTTTTGACCATATTATTAAAAGACAAGAATTAGGTCAGAAATAGACATTTCCATATTTCTTTTTTTTTCAGTTAACTGTATTAATAAAATTGTACTTTGAAAATATAAGCCTTCTTGATAAATAACAATTTTATAAACAAAGTTAGTTGAAAAAAAAGAAAGAAGATGAAAATGTCCATTTCTGATTCTTATTTTCTATTTCTAATTCTTATTTTCGAAAAGTCTAGAAAAATTAAATATCATCTGGGCCAGGTTTGGCTACTAGCCTATCTTACTAAGATATCGCCGTTGGTCTCTCAGTCAGAGGGCATCCAGAGGAAGTTCTGAAAATCAATGTATTATATTTTTCAAGTTACTTGTTATGTTTGGTCCCCAAAATAATTGTTTTGTATTTTTTTATCACCCCATAATGACTGAGGAGTCTCCTCGGAGGGTCCCAAAGATCATTGTTTTGAATTGATCTGGTGCCATGGTATGTTTAGCCCACAAAATATATTTTTTTTATTCCTGCAGTATGTTGGGGTTCCACTGGAGGGCCTTAAAAATCATTGTTTTATATTTTCCAAGTTTCATAGAATGTTTGGTTCCAAAAATAATTTTTTTTTTTTTTTTTGTGAACATATCATATTTGTGTTCATAACTTTTCTCTGGGTACTAAAGATAACTGTTTTGTATTTTTTATTTTTGTAGTATACACTACAGATGTTGCGAAAATTTCTGAGCACGTTGTAATAAACTGTACTGCCTGTAAACCCTAAAGGAACACAGGAAAACAGGAACCTATGTCCTGACAGAAAACTTCTTACCCCTACACATGACACAAAATAACCAAATATGGTCTTGTAATAGTTCTCGTATAGTAATGATTCTTGCTCTCCTTGGTTAGTTCTCCATCCAACTTGATGGAATAAGAAATACCAACAGCAATTCTAAGGATCATAGTATTGGAAAAAATTAGCAATATATATTCAGCTGACACCAGAATTCATGTTTTCACTTACTCTTGTTCACATTACCCAGCTTCAATTGATCTCCTTGTAAATGGCTAATGATACTATAATTAAAGTATGTTTTAGGGTAATATGTGTTTGAGCAGACACAACATAATTTTTGACTGAGAAATAACAGTTACCTAAGAAGCTGCTAAGTCTTGGCTCGAGCCAATTATATATAAATATTTTTTCTTTACAAGAAGAAAAAAACTGCAACAGATGACCGTAAATTTCACAGAAGTGAACACAGTGATAGCATACAAGTGAATTCTTTCTCACTATGGTCTACATTAAAATAAATAAATTAAAATAACTAGCCAATTAGGGTGTTTCTTACCATTCCCAAAAATCGGAACAGTTGATTCCGAACTAACCGCTGCATATCCAAATAAGCTTACAACATTCCAGTGCCTACAGATATGTCCTTAGGATAACCTAGAACTTAAACAATCATATTCCTATACTACACATTTAAAATGAACTGGTTGAACCAAGATAATCTTGATTCCCACTACAGTCCTAGAATAAAGTAACTTTCCTCCACCATTTTTATATTTCTCATAATCAGTTACCTCACCAAACAGCATCTCACATGCACCCTGCCGAAGTATATGCTGTTATGAGTAATGGATTAGTCAGTTGAATAAAAATGAAACAGGTAAAACAAAATGGCAGTAGGAAAAGAAAAGAATATAAGATAACAACTATTTTTTAAAGTGGTTTTCAGGTGCCCTCTTAGGATTCCCTCTTGGAAAGGGGGCCCTACTTCAGACTCTAGCCAAGGGGCCCCAATGGAGCCAGACCGGGCATGTAGCCATTACAAGTTTTAATTATGTATCTATTCTCAAAATATATTTGGATAGCAGCAAATCTATTTAAAGTTGAAAACCATGATTTTATAAATTTCACTTTTTTATATTCCATACATATGTTTAACAAATAGAATACAAGTGTAGAGTATTATGTTTAAACATTGATTTTACTGAGCAAATTATTTATTAATTAGTAAAACTCTATAAAATAAATAAAACATTGGTGCTGACTTATGATTTAATAACATTGTGCAAAGAGTTTGTATATGCATTTCAGTGTTAGAAAAATTGTTGACTCTAATATATAGTTTCAAACTATTTGGAAATATAACTAAATAAGCGAAAAATAGTACTTCTATAGTAATGTCTTTATATTACTAAAACATTATCGAATCATGTTTCGGACATCTGCTCCATCATTAGGGTTCCAATCTTGAATAATTATTGGACAGTCATTGTTTAGGATTTCGCTCACAACAATGTATGTGCAGTAATAATTCAGGATTGGAATGCTGATAATGGAGGAGATCTCCAAAATATTGGTTTGATAATGTGTTATTAATAAAAATACATTACTACAGAAAGATATTTTTTCACTATATGTATATCAAAATAAATCTGATGTATAGAAATTTTAATATTTACAAATATTTAAATATATGTGTACCTACAATTATCTGTTCACTGATTGTGTAGCATTGATTAGTAATTTTTTCAAACTGTTGTTCAATAAAAACATTATTATTCAATCAATGACAATAGTAATAGTGGAAGTAGCATACCATACTAGATAGTATTTCATTATAGTTTGTATTAAAGTGAATTGTTATAATATTTTATTAAGTTTCGTCACTGTATTTAATTATTTTCTAGTCACTAGGCTATAACTTATCTTTAAGAATGATATCAAACTAATGTTAGTTTTTGTTTGTAAAGATTCTTACTTTTATTTATGTCTGCAACCAAACATTGTTGAAGTATTTTCTTGGATATGTAAAAATGATTATTTCAACTTGAAATTGATATATTAATCAATATTCATTTAATTCATATATTCCTCTTATAATTGTATAGATATGATTAATTATATTAGATGTTCAATTTTGTTGATTAATAAAAAAATATATTAAAAATATCTAATCCTTCTGAAAAAGATTCAGATCTGTCAAAATTAATATGTGTATACATTAAGAAATCAGGTAAGATAAAACATAAACTTTTATTCTTTTGCGAAAATTTTTTTTTTTTAATATTCAACAAAAAAGAATGTATTGGCAGTTATAATTCATAATTAAAATTTAAAAAGATCAAAAGTTATTAAATATGTTTTTTCTTTATTACATTTTCTGATACATAATAAAGTAAATAATTAAATGAAAAGAGAAAAAGTGTAAGGCGTATTAATTATATGATTACCTTATGAGTAGATAATAATCAGCAACACAAAATAACAATAATTCCAATGGCCAGCCAAAACAGAGTCTTTTATTTATTTATTTTCTTTATTAGTGATAGCTTTATATTGCAAACCAATTAATTTTTTTTTTAATCAGATAAGATATTTCTTTTTCTATTTTTTATTTTATTTTATTTTTTTTTTTTTTTTTATTTATTTTTTTTTGTAAGGGAGCCTTAAATAAATATTGTTGCTTTAAATAAATAGTTTTTTAATGGTTATGCCATTGAGTAAATTCAATGGTTTTTAAACTTTGAAATAGGAAATATAGTTTGTGACTTTTTGGAAAAATTTAATTATTTGTATAAAATATAAAATATATTTTATACTAAATTATGAGCCTTACAATTGATAGATGAATAACTCCTATTTCATAATTTTTTAATTATGAATATTGAAATGTAGCTAAAAGTCATTTTAGCTATAGTTCTAGTTGAAAAATTGATATCTGTAGAAACAGTGAGTAAGTTGATTTCTTAGCAGGTGAATGCAGTGTTGAAATATAGAACTGTAAATAATGGTATTAACTTTCCCACTAGAAAGTATACTAAAATCACTGAGTTTTACTAAAACCACTAAAATCAATAATCAAAAATGTTGAAATAGGAGTTGGGTATTCCGTCAACTAAAATGCTCATACATGGAAAAGATGTTTTAATCAATTATCTGTTCAAGTATAAAAAAGAAAATAAGTAAAACCTGTTGAGATGTGACATCACATCACTTTATCTTACTCCCCTTGATTAGGTTTCTAAATCACACAATTTTCACTCACCACTAGCGGATCCAGAATTTAATTTTGGGACGAGTGCTTCAGCCCGAAAGCTTTTTTTTTCATAAAAATAACGATAATTACTTTGGAAAAAAAGAAAAAAACTAACTACCTATATGAAATGGTGTTTAAGTGATTCCTAAAGTTCTTTTAAATGTAATTACACGAACAATAATACTTTAAGAGAAAATTTTTTAATATTATTTTTTTTTTATAAAACATTGTTATATTCTACCATTTTGGGAGGCTTCAGCCCCAAAGCTCCTCCTCCCTCCACCCCCTGTAGATCCGCCCGTGTCACTCACTACCCTTCCTTAAATTTCAACATCATGCATTTCTTCAAGCCTTCTCTTACAAAAGTTCAATAAAATGGTTTTTGAACATATAGAACAACAATTCAGTGCATTATACATTTTTGGCAAATGAAATGTTGGAAGGAAAGGAACCCCCTTTCCTTAGGCCAGACCCCCCTACCATGCACCTCCCCCTCACATCACAATAAAATTCATATCGCTGTTTTCTTTGTAACTATTTACTAAAAAAAAACAGTGTTTCCACAATTCAATGTGTCCTCACTGTCCTAAAATGGCGTCCAGACAAGACGGGTCTTTGATTTAAAAAATATGAAAAATAATAAAAGATAAAAAAAATTGGCCTTGGAAATAAAAAATAGCAATATGACATTATTGCTAGTCGGTCAAGTTAATGCTGAAAATCAACTGTCATTTATAATTAAATGGCCAAAAATACCTTATGGTCAA